CCCCAAAACCCCAAAACCCCAAAACCCCAAAACCCCAAAACCCCGGTTTGCTAGGTTATTATTGTTTTTTTTTAGATATATGGGCAGAGAGATTTTAGAGAAAGGGAAGAAATTTGTGAGGAAGGCAGTAAGGATGGTGGATATGTAGGTGGCAGTGGGGATTAGAGTGATGGAGTATAGGTATCCCAAGAAGATTAACTTCACGTTTAAAGGCAAAGAGTAAGTGGAAGGATTTGTGATGGGTTAAAATACCTACTTAACTGTCTCAACTTCACCCTTTCCCTCCTTCTTGACATTTTCTAATATCTCTTAAAAATTCTAAAAGCTTTCTAAATCCTCAAAACTTCTATAAAACCCTCGTATTCTCTTCAAGCTTTTCCAGGCACAAAGAGACCTATATTTTCATTCAGAGTTTTTACTTATTCCGAACAGTTTATTTTCAAATTCTTCAAATCCTTAACTACTTTCTTCTAGAGAATTCCAGACCTTCACTGGAGGAATTGTAGGCCCAAAGATGGTCAAATATAGGTATCCCTGGTCTTAAAGGTGGCCATCATTCTTTATTCATACCACATGATGTCCATCTTGATTCGTAAGAGAGATCTGGCAACGTTTTAGGCAATAAAGACAGTTCAAAAAATATCAACAGAACGAACAAAAGCAAGTCTTAATGGAAGATCTGGGCTATATGAGGGTTATTAGGGATTTTGGTATTTTAGCAAGAAGAATTATGATAACCCTAAGATTTTCATTTTGCAGTTTGGATACCGTAAATAGCATTATTTGAATGATTATTAATTCTAATCCTTGGACAATAGATCTAGTACAAGACACAGAGCCATTTCACCTTGCGTAAGATATTTGGAAAATACTTAGGAATACAGAGTTTCAGCTTGCCATAAAAGCAGAGAAAAATGGAGCTGATTTTGATTTGTTTGATAAGCCCGAATACTTCACAGCTAATGTGCTTCAAGTGAATGCAAATCAAAGTGAAACTTCTCTAATCTTTAGGTGCTGGTAAATATGAAACAACTCCAATAAGCTTATCTAAGTGTGGGTCTAGCTTTAACTACTCGAACCAAGCTGAAGTAAGGCAAAACTGATACTCTAGATTGACCTTCTCAAGATCTCAGAGTATTACTGCCCTGAGAACAAGAATTTCACTGTTATGGGGAATCTCCACTCTGAAGAGCTTTCCTTCTTTAATTTCCAAATTTCGAGGTAAAGCCTAGTGATAATCCTAGATGAAATAATGCGACCAGTAGCACTACTTGTAAGACAAATGAAGAAATTGATCAACTCGCTGCTGCGATAGATGTCAGAATGATGGTTGTAAGTTTAGCATCCAGAAATATGAGTCGAATCTTTTCAAAATTTTAGGACTAGAATGATAAATTTCTTGGGAGCTCTGAATATTATGGTGTTAGTGATACAGGTTACATAGTTTGGAAGCATCCTCTAGATTGTCTTAAGAGGTTTAGCTAGTAAATTGATAACCACCATTGCTCTCAAGGAGAAAATACCCTCTTGATATTGTAAAGAAACATCGAAGATTTTGGCCATAAATCTCGCTTAATTTATTCAGAATTTTAAATCTAACCAGTCTTTGTCGTATGAGTCAAGACTACGATAATGATTCCTTCTCTTTCATGTCTCCTTACCTTATCTAATCCTAAAATATTCCCAATATCGTATGAGAAATTAATAGAACACACTAAACTTTAGAAACTAATCCCATATCTAGGTGAACACTTACTTCGACTTTGAAGATTACGATAAGCCAATAAAGACGTATCTGGACGACAGATTCCTACTGTATATGACTCCTGGGTTCACACAGAACGTATATGTCAAGATACAGTAAGTCTTTTCAAAATTAACTCTAGAAAAAATGAAGCTGAGATCCAAGACGATTACTTCGCCTTCGCTCCTGGAGGAGATGTCACTGAATTCATTGGATTCGAATCTGTGGAGAATAATATGTTCTCAGAAAGAAGTCCAGCCAATAACTTGCTTAGTAAGGTGATCTCTTAATCTGTAGATGTCCTATTCATCAAAGATTCAGCATCTATATCGTACGAGCGTACTGTTTTCACAGTACTCGAAGCTTTTGGAAATATTGGAGGACTGATAGAGATATTGTATGTTGGAGGCAGCCTTGTTGTGAATCTTTTCGCCAATACGCAATATTTCTACTCGGTTTTTGGACATATGTATCAAGTTGAAGAGCCAACAAAGGATTATCAAGGTATAAGACGGACCTTATTTCTCAACATAAAGTAGAGCTTTGAAGTTGCAAGAAGTCTCCCTAATCTTGATGCAAAATCACTCTATTTATTAAGCTTTAAAACATAATAGTGTGTTTATTTAAAATGAATTTAAACTCAAGAACATTTTTTGAAAAGAGTTAATTTATAACTCAATACTCTTAAAAATCTAATAAGGATACTCAATTGTAAGAATGAATCAATAACTATCTCCTAAAATTCGTAACAAAATCTCTTTTTAATCAGAAAGATTGTCACAGTAAATTTTCCTCACTTGCCTCTTTCTACCCAAACTAAACCACCACACAAAATTATATCTCTTCAGCTTATTCCTGATTACTTGTTTTAGTTGAAAGATCGCCATCACATAATTCAAAAACGCCTCGATATGTAACTTCTCGGTTAATCCTTAGATAAACTACGAAGACAGGAAGAGTTTGGAAGAAAGCGATACTTTTTCTAATAACCCAAAGAGAGAGTTAGCTAGACAAGCCCAACAAGCTATGAAGAGGAGGAGCAGATATACATGGAAGGCCATAGACCTTCTATATAATGTCTCTGGATTCTTGCAGTGTGTCTTTAAGTGATGCATTAATAAGAAGAACAAAATGAACATAAATCAAAGACTAAAGTACTATAGAAAAGGAAAGAAGAAATATGCCCATGAATTTGATGCTATTAAGTTCTCTAAGAACATGAGGATTCTAGATACCCTGGTGAATTCATTGCTCGATGATAATCAGACATTTATGGCAGTGAACCAGAAGCTAAATGTGCTCACTATAGATGATAGTGATACCCCTGGGAAAGAAGATAATGATAAAGACCCAACTCTTTTTACTAAGCATACTGAGAAGAAAAGCTACTATTCTAAAATTGATAGATTCATTGTATAATTCTAGATAATCTATAGGAGGCTTATTTGAATGAAAGATGGAAGCAAAAAGATTACCAGCTAACATCAGGAATAACCAATAAGAAATATCTTAACAGTAACTTTAACTTAACCCTTAGATGACGAAGTCAACGAAATGATGTCAATAAACATAATGGACACTCAACAACTCCGCTTTACAAGCACAACTAAATCTTACACAACTCGCCCTATTCCCTCTCCAGAGTAACCTATCCCTTTAACCAACAGAGAAACAAAAGAATCCCCTAAAAAACCTCCAAAGCTCCCAAAACTCCCCAAAATCAGTAGCCATTCCCAAAATCCTTCTTCTGAAGCCCTTGATTCAAAATCCCCAAAATTCCCAAAATTCCCTTAACTCATCATTCAATATTCTAAATTCCCTCTGGGGTTTTGGGGTTTTGGGGTTTTGGGG